GTTTGGTCTGGAGAAGAGGAGGCTGAGGGGAGACCTGATCGCTCTCTACAACGACCTGAAAGGAGGGTGTAGTGAGGTGAGGGTCGGCTTCTTCTCCCAAGTAACAAGTGATAGGAGAAGAGGAAACAGCCTCAAGTTGCACCAGGGGAGGTTTAGATTGGATATTAGGGAGAATTTCTTCACCAAAAGGGTGGTCAAGCATTGGAACAGGCTGCTCAGGGAAGTGGTGGAGTCACCATCCCTGAAAGCATTTAAAAGGCATGTAAACGTGGTGCTTAGGGACATGGTTAGGTGGTGGGCTTGGCCATGCTACGTTTATGGTTGGACTTGATGATCTTAAAGGTCCTTTCCAACTTAAACAATTCTATGATGATTCTGTGATTGTCATGAGGTTCAGAATGGACCCCCTTGCTTTCTAAACTCCTTCTCAGAGAGGAGCTAGGTGTGGCTGGATCTAGGCAGTCCCAGACTTGGTCAACAGTTTATGTCTAAAAGATTATATATGCAAAGTTTGTAATAATTAATACTGAGTAGCTACATGGAATACTAATGTTTCATTAGTATTAATTCAGCATGCTATCAGTCACTTACCAAGGGTCTGTTACGTGTAAGGAGTACTCTGCCTAGGGCAAGGAAGGATCTCAGTCTCAGGTAAAGAACCTCAAACCTTGAGAAAAAATGCTCAAGGGAAGTGTCACCTGGCATGCAATCCAGCTGCAATTCAGGGAGAGCTCAAATTGGGCTCATTCAGAGATGTGCCATTGGTAAAAGGCCTCTCTGCCTTGAGGAGCAACCTCAAGAGGTGTCCCAGCTCAAGGCGAGATCGCTGCCATGCAGCCAGGCTGCCGAGCAGGGAATGCTCAGAGAAGGCTCACTTAGGCTGTTGTATTTATGGAATAAAGTGGTTGGGTCATAGTCAAATTGCATGTGAGACTACTTGTATGCATAAGACTCCTTATACCCACAACTTCTTTGTTCCTTGAAAAGTAAGTCTTGGAAAAAACACCCACTCATGTGTTAATCACATGCTTGGCGTTCCAAGCTCGTATGTGTCAATACTCACTGGGTCACTCTGTTTGTGTGCTTCTTAGAGGAATTCTTGGCCCAGCTGTGGCTCAGGCCTTTGCCTTCATTGGAGCCTGTACCAAACTATTGCTAGTTTCATAGAATCAAAGAATGGTTTAATTGGAAGGGACCATAAAGTTCATCTCGTTCCAACCCCCCTGCCATGGGCAAGGACACCTTCCACCAGACCAGGTTGCTCAACACCCCATGCGACCTGGCCTTGAACACTTCCAGGGATGGGGCATCCACAGCTTCTGTGGGCAACCTGTGCCAGTATCTCACAACCATCAATGTAAAGAACTTCTTCCTCATACCTCATCTAAATCTTCCCTCTTCCAGTTCAAAGCCATTGCTCCTTGTCCTGTCACTCCCTGCCCTTGTAAAAAGTCCCTCCCCAGCTTTCTCTTGGCCCCTTTAGGTACTGGAAGGCTTCTCTGAGGTGTCCCCGGAGCCTTCTCTTCTCCAGGCTGAACAACCCCAACTCTCTCAGCCCGTCCTCACAGCAGAGGTGCTCCAGCCCTCGGATCATCTCCGTGGCCTCCTCTGGACTCGCTCCAACAGGTCCATGTCCTTCTTGTGCTGAGGACCCCAGAGCTGAAGGCAGTACTGCAGGGGGGTCTCACCGGAGCGGAGCAGAGGGGCAGAATCCCCTCCCTCG